TGCTGTCGTTAAAAGCCAAGCCATATTTTTTTGTCAGCGTTCAAGAAATCCCTAAGGTTACTGTCATACACAGTTGCGTTTCTCCCGCAAACAGTAATGTTGTTCACGCAGAAAACTTCTCATAAATTTTCATTTGAGATTATCTCATCGGTAGCTCTATGGAAATATCAAACACCGGTGGTAACTCCGAAGGGATTACGACGAAACTAGTATAAGCCTCCACATACCTCAAAAGCAGGAAACATTTTTATTCCCTATTAGGGATTTGATAATATGCAGTTTCGAGGTATAGAGTGCTAAAATGCGGTATTTATGGCATATCGGCTTGNTCTTCATAGCCGCAGATCTAATCATGCTCGAAAGGTCAATGGTTAGAGGTCAGACAATGCTCAGTCTCACAAGGATAGCTACTTGTTCACCTGGCTCGCTTTGTCTATCCATTCTCGTTTCCCAGATAGGTCACTTCAGCAAATAAGCACAAGGAGGGGCAGTCCACCGCTAGATGAACGTGCAAGCGGGGTACCCAGAGCTTCCCCCGACGGTGAGAGATGTCTTCGCACTTCATCGTACAGCTGCGTCGGTCCAAGCTGTGCAGTGACCAGCCAATAAGGTGCTGTCCCGTTCACGTTCCGCCTGTCTCATTGGGTGCATGAGACTAAGGGCCAATCCTAAGCAGTGGGTCGACAATCAACGCAGAGCAAACAATCCACTAAACTAAAACCCAAAAACCTTGCGTGACAGGGTTCCCGAAGCTCCTAAATGGGTGCTTCGGTCACACTCTCACTTTGGATTTACGACCCGCTGTCTTTTGAGTCGAAGGCACCGGTTAGGGTTCCCAAAGAAAAACCCCTTCGTCGGTGTGGATTACCGCATATTATGTTGTGCCTCAAAGTCTTAGATACCCATTTGGAAAACCCTTAGGTACCCGCATTTGAGTTTGATGAACGGGGAGTGCTAGTGTCCAACCATAAAGGAGGAAAACACTTAGGGTTCCGTTCCAAAGCCGTTGGTTCTGACAAGAACCTAACCGCAAGGCAGCGGGAAAATCGAAGTGAAGGCCCACTTATTTGGATCAATTACTACTCCACCATTTTATCGACTGAGACGCCAGCTCTAGTTGATCTTTCAGCCTGAGGAACCAGGAGGCTGAATTTTGTCTAACCTCCAGCCTAACCCTCTATTCGTAATGATATGCTTTGACTTGATGAAAGCTATCTTGTGTGGCTCGTCGGCTCTTTTGTGCGCTCCCTGCAGAGCTTGGGCGGGACCGAAAAACAAACATGAGCTGAGTCAGTTAGGATGTGGCGTAGACGGTTGAAGAAATTGTTTTCGGATCTAACCTCTGTCGGTGCTGCGGTTTCTAGGTTGGGGCCCCAATGATTCACATAATCGTTGACATCAGACTTTTCAGGATATGACATTAAACCGAATTCGGTAGGGTGAATGTACCTTTTCCTGTATGAAATCGCAAAATACTTTTGTGTGATGAACAGCGGACGGGGTAGACCCAGCAGTCACGAAGACCTGTCGTTCATTGATGAAACCGGCAACCTATGCCCTGGGACTTGGATTGGCGAACCACATGATGCCTCACTAGGTTCGGAGTGGTATTAAGTCGAACAACAACGCTGCCTACCATTAAAGTTGTGTTAGTGGCGGAGTTCGAATCTCGGACCATCGGGTTCAAAGCACGTCGGTTACAGCGACCAAACCACTGAACCACCACCGGCATCTGTAATTTTATTTTATTTTATGATTACTTTGGCACCGTATCTGTATAAATTGATGCATATATATATATATATATATATATATATATATATGCATNATTTTGTGTGCCTCGACCCGTCTACACTGCTCGAGATGTGAATGAGTCCGGCCGTCACTTATCAAGCTCATTCCTTTTCTACAAAGGATATACTGTCTGTAGTTTAACTTCTTCCCTTGGAGGCTCGTTTGACTATTCTGCTGTAAAACAGCTGCTCGCCCATGTTTAAATTACACTCCTGTTTCATGAGTGTGAACTTATGCCTCCTAGTCCCATGTTGCCATGCTTCTGTGAAGAGACTGCCCACTCCTATCCGTGATAGCCCCTTCACAATGTGGATTTCTTCTATAAGATCTTCGCTCTCTCCTTTCTAATGAGAGCCTTCAGTCTTTCTTCATATGTTCTGCCCCTTTTGCCACCCATCATTTTGGTGGCCAGGCTCTGAACCTTCTCTAAACAGACGACATCCTTTTTGATAAAGGGTAACCAAGCCTGTACGCCATACTCCGGATGCGGTCTGACTGTTGTCCTGTATACGGGGACAAAGATCTTATGTCTCCAGCGTGTAAAAAGTACGCAGTCTAGACAATTCCGCTAGTTTTGCGCACAGCAACTGCACACTGACCAACCCATGTGAAGTTATTAGTCATTACCATTTCCAAGTCCTTGACCTGCCTAGTTCTATAGTGAAATGGGGGTCCTCTGAGTTGACCTTTTTGTCTAATACCTCCATATGCATGTGGTTCTTGTTTGCATTAAGGCTTATTCTTTTGTTTGTTTAGCTACCTTCACTAAAGCCCGTTTTAGTTCCATTTTTTCCCTCGAACCGACCACTTTAACGTCATCTTCAAAAATGTTGCACAAGAACGTCATAGTGCTATTCAGGTCACTGATGTGAAGAAGTAGAAGCGGCTCTAGCACCGAGCCTTGTGGAACCCGGCTGATAAACTGAACTGGTGTTGAATGCTCCCCGCTAATTGTCACAGAATGTTCCACTTTGGATGTTTCGCCATGTGTGTTCTTATTAGCTTTTCTATTTCTTTGCACCACACCCTAGTTACGCAAACCGAACGATAGTTCTTGATGTACCTTTTCTGTCCTCTCTCGTGGATGGATACTACAGAAACTACTACTAGATGTCCAACTAGATGGTAATCTTTAATGAGAAACCAAATGGTTTATAACTCAATGTCTTGAATGGGGACGATTGATTGTTAGTATTCTATGACAAATTACTGGAGAGTTGTTAAGTTGATATCCCTTCTATTGTAGCTATTTGATTTCATCACTGCCTAATGACACTGTTCCAAGAGTTTCGTTTGTCGTATTGCTTTGCAGTAAAGATTATCTCTCAATACCCGGCTAATCTAACAAGTATGACCGTAAACTTTATGATGCATGATCCAGGTGACATGAGTGCTGTCATAGTACAGCTCATTGCAATAATTCCGTCAACAGTTTTGACCGCTCTGTTTCTTCTAGCCAAATGGTCGATTCGAAACCCATAGAAAAATTTGCTTGAGCATTTCTGGTTATCATCCGGAATCATGGAGACCTTCATGGTCGATTCGTACAGCTCTTTTGGCAATCATTGGATTCATGCCTACACATGGTGCCGGGGCTATAGGTTCCCTTGATTTGCCAAGCGAGGAACGGAAGCTCTTGGCACGAAAGTAAGATCATTATCTGTTGGTTTTATTATTTTGACTGTCTATGCTGAGGTTATTTCTTTCGTAAAATGACCGTTCTAATATCAGCTTGTTTTACACAGACTAGGATAATGTTCATGTAACAATGTCAAGAATGCTTTTATATGGTGCAGTGTTTTGCTGAACAAGAGTAACTTCTCAGTCAAAAACTGTACACAGACAGCTATTTGAAATGGAAGAAGTTCCGTTAGTATCTATATATTCTTTCCCCTCTTAAACGTGTTCAACGAATGATCGACCGGCTGGTGGATGATCCTTTCCTAAGTTCCAATCTGCAGTCAGTAGCCCATCGTCGGCATTTAATTCGCTGTCCGTTCTATACTGTTCCTATTTCGGTTTCTGCCCTTTTGCCTCTTCACCATCACAACGAGAATGCAGCTTGACCTGTTGTGATCGCTTGCGCGCCTCCATGACTCTGTGAGCTATACCGGATGGCTCCTCACAATCGCAGACTCGATCATGTCTGGAAGGTCAATGGGTGCTCATGCATCTCATCATTCTCTTAACACCAGTCTATATGATTTCTCTATCTTCCGCTTGAATTGACTTTCAGCATTCCAATCTTCTTCCTTCTTTTTCATCCAAATGGGCGGCCAAAAGACAGCAAACAAAACCGGCGCGTGAAAGTGCATGGTAATGGTTGTAAAAACTGGAACTGCATAGAGGCCAGACCAAGCTCAATCTCACAAAGCCAGCTGCTTGCGCACCTCCCGACTTTCCTTGTTTATCCACTCTCGCTCCTGGAAAGGCCACTCGTGCAAATAAGCACAAGGAGGGGCAGTCCACCGCTAGATGAACGTGCAAGCGGGGTACCCAGAGCTTCCCCCGACGGTGAGAGATGTCTTCGCACTTCATCGTACAGCTGCGTCGGTCCAAGCTGTGCAGTGACCAGCCAATAAGGTGCTGTCCCGTTCACGTTCCGCCTGTCTCGTTTGGTACAAGAAACTAGGAACCAGTCAGTAACGACGGATTGGCTGTCAAGGCACCAGCAAACGACACCGAACAGATACCCTAAGGCCTTGTGTGGCAGATCTCTAGTAGTTCCCACCGGAGTACTTCATTCACGCTCTCCCGTTAGATCTATGTCTCACTGTCTTGTGAGTGAGACTTTTGAGTCGAAGGCTCCTGTTAAGGTTCCTCAAGAAAAAACCCTAAATTTCATTTGCCAGCACTACCAAAACTACGCGGTCTTAATAACCAACAGACAGGATTTCGGTTGACAAATCTTATTATTTCCCTTTTAATCAAATTACGGTTTCTCACAATATGACAATAGAACTGTCATAAAAGAATGAAAAGAAGTTGACTATTTTAGGGGAGCAACTATGTGTTTCGTTAGTAGCGATTTGACGTTACCTGTATGCGTTTAATTTACACTCAGATTTGGTGGTTGTGAACAACCGATCGTGACGGTGTGTGGCTCGTCACACTAAGTTCAAAGTCTAGGTTGCCGATTACCTCTCTGATCTCACTAGGAGTAGTCCAAAAGACAGGATTACTATTCAAGCACACACTCACTGGACAATTGCACTCGCGAACATTCATGGCTTGAACCACTTTATTGATTCTTCACATTGGTTTCTTCAATTCAATTTTCCCTTTACTCTATTTTTATCTGAAACCAAACTTTCTTCTACTACGAACACCGTCCGCCTTCAGTTCCCCAAAGGTGGTGGTGGTCGAGTAATAAGGTCATCAACTGAACCACCCGACGGTCCTGAGTTCAAGCCCCATCACCGCGGCTTTCTTCTTGAAAGTTTATTGTACATTATGACTAATAATGAAAAAAATAAGTACAGGCATTTATAATTGAAATCGTTTTTATTATACATCCTCCTCACTCCTCGTTTATTTTCAAAGCTGGCGTTTGTTGTTTTTTCCACCATCCGATTGCTTCTACCCTTCCCTCGCACTTAAATATCGCTAACCGTTAGTTCCAGATCGTGTGACTGAAACTTCGGTCCCCTTCTTTCAATCAATACTACGGCATTGTATACCGTTATCTAAATAGTACCGACCCTTCACTTTTTAGGGATATAGTTGAAACAGATACCAAAGCTTGTTTGACAATTTGGAGTGATTTTAACGTCACAACGGGGAATGGCTGTTGCATTCTTCAGAGACTTCGAGCCTCGGGCGTAAAGCAGAATCGCTTATCCTAGTGATCAACCTACACCAGGTGGTTGATTTCCCTACCCGCATCTCCAACCGTGCTAAGGACCACGTATACACCCTCAATCTTTCCCTCTTATTCAACCCCAAATTATTTTCTAATATTGCCACAATTCTTCTCACCAAAACACTGTCTTATTTCACTTTCGATCTAAATTTTCCGTTCCACTGTTCCCCTCAATTCCAAATGCGCACTTTGGTGATACAGTTCCGCTGATTGATGTAGCTCTCATGACTTTCTGGCTTCTAGGATGGTTTGTTTTCCCATGGAGGTCTGTATCTCAGCTTTGAAATTTTCCAGAGTTATCATACAAGGCATGCACTTAGTTATTCCTCGTTTCACTGAATTCGGTAAGTTTTTCTTGAATGGTTTAACTACGCATCTTGTCTCGCTATTTGTGAAAAGAAATCAGCGTTCCGTCGTTGGCCTTCCCATTAATTCTACCAACTGTTCCTTGAAACACGTAACAGCTGCAGAACCATTTTATGAAGACTTAGGGAGCGTTTTCCTGAACGAATAGCTGCACAGTTTTCGACCGCTCCTTTTGTAAGTTGGACGTTCTAGTCTCCGAAGGCCCCAGTATGGTCAGGAGTGAAAGTCTTGGGTTGTGGTTGTTCACCCCTCCCTTGCACCTCGCGAAATCCTCTCATAAGACCCAGCGTCTCAGATAGCTTCTGCTGAGGAAGCCCTACTCATTGCCTTCTCTTGACAGAGATGTTTCCCCACCAAGGTGAGAGGACGAAGTGTCAACATTCGTGGCTATAACCGAGTCGGTGGACTACTGGTTTTTCACCTAGAGGAGTTGGCCTAAAACCCTAATTCCAAACCGACCAATATTATGCTCCCACTGGACGTTAGTTCGCTCTTCATCGATGTTTCATTCAGCTGAACACATCGAATGCCTGTTTAGTTTGGAAGACCTGAAACAACTGCTTTGTTTTTGCATATACAACGTCCCGTTTAAGTTTAATGATCAGATTTATCAACAAAACGATGTGGCCATGGGATCACTGCTCGGACCTTTGTTTTCAGAATTGCATGCTATAAAACCGATGATGGTTTGTGCGTGATCTATACGAAGTCAAGAACAAACGAGCTACTGAGCAAGTTCAATGCTGCTCGCCATAGCATAAGATTCACTTTAGAAATTTAAAACAACAATAAACTGGCATTTCTAGTCGTCTGTCTGAGTCGTAGATCAGTTGGTTCGGTGCAACAATCAGTGCATAAGAAGGCTGCTTGGAAGATCAGTGCATCCATTTCGCAGCTTTGTACCGCTCAAAGTGAAAAGGAATTTAGTGTATTGCCTAGCAGATACAGCGAAGAAGATTTATATTGAGGAAACAATAGATGATCTCCAGATTTCACGTACTATTTTCACACAATGACTATCCTTAACGACTGCTTAGAAAGGTGACTCAGTGCAGAGGTGACATTGTGAAGAAGATCGAGGTTAGAAAAATGTCGGTATGCATTGCCTGGCCGTTCAAAGGGGACGTAAGCAGAGGTAATGCAAAACAAACTATCCAATGTTAGTGGGACCTTCTATGCAACAAAGCTCAGTGTTTTGTTCACCTCCCAGCCAACTGTGTTTTTATAACTCAAGGACAAAATGCGAGATTCCGCTGTCTCATTTTGTGCGTACTCATTTACGTGTTCCTGTGGAACAACGTACATAGGTCACATAGTCAGGCGTTTGCCCGAACAAATCCTCATGGCTAAATACAGGAACGATTAGATCACTCGCTAGTGCAGTGGTTTCACACCGAGTTGAACCAAATTACCCCGGTAATGTGACCAAGGCATTCCTTCTCCTGAATAGGATTCGTGGTCGACTATCAAGGCAGGCTCGATGTCATACTTGCCACAGGAAGCGGTGGGAATTCGTCTATATGACCTCCCCTTCTGTGTGCTCAAAAACAATTTGTGCCGGTGCTTAAGCTCTCCTGGACCGTCCCATGTCCCGAGTAGTCCAGACGATCGAATGACCTAACAATTATGTGATCATTGAGAATCCCATATCCGGTCCAAAGACGAAATTAGCCGTAAATAACTTATGATGTTAATTTCCCCTTACGAAAAACGGATGTTTGGAATTTACAGTTGAGTACTGATACATTGGGGATTGATTTCTGTTAAATATCGGGTCTGTTTTCGAAGTTCTTCCTCCGTACGTGGGGTGACGACTAATCCCGTTCTATAAGGTTAGCGTGGAATAGGCATTGTACTCAATAATACAGTCGAAGCGTTACTCATCAATCGGATCCCCGTCAACAGTCACGATGCGGCTGTTGATGGTAGCGCATTGGTTTAGTCGCTGTCAACGGCGTGATTTAGACCCTGTGGTCCGAGGTTCTAGTCGCGTCACCACTATCCAACTTTGGTGATAGGCAGCTTTGTTGTCGCTGGGTTCAGTACCACGTCCAACCCATCGAATCCTTATGTGCTTCGCCACTCCAAGTCTCGCGGGGTTTAGGCTGCCGACTTCCATCACTGAGCAGCAGGTCCTTGTGATTATAGGGTTTGCCTCATCCGCTGTTCAACACACCAAAGGGTCTATCAGAGTCCGGAAGGGAAGCAACACCAAAAGGTGTTTGTTCATCATTTTAGCTTATGCACCGACCAACTGCAGTTCTGACGCACAGAACGACGAGTTTTGTGATGAACTCACTGAACTCATTCGGTTGACCTGAAGCTCCAATACATTTATGCTCGCCGGTGTTTTTAACGCACAAGTTGGAAAATTGAGCGCATCGGAATCTTGCCGAGGCGATCACTGTGCTCTACCATGTCAGCGAACAGGTAATGGCGATCGACTTTTTCAGTTCTGCGCAGACCATCATCTGTTCCTATCCAGCACCGACTTCCGACACAGCTCTCAATGAACAGCAACGTGGCGCTCAATTTCAACTGGCTCGCTAACTCAGATCGACCAAATAGCAGTAAGTTACCTTTGGTGTGGCTCAGTACAAAACTGCAGGTCCTATTGGACCACCTGCGTTGAATCTGATCGTGCATTAATTTTGTTGCAGTTCACTGTCGAACTCATTGGTTGCAAGGGCTTAACGCGCTGCAGCATGGTAGTGTAGATGAACAATGGGATTAGATTAGATGAGCAGTGCGCCCTGCAGTGAAGAATGCTTTTGAATCTGAAGCGGTAGTCCGTCCTGTGGCTTCTGCAACGTCAGCTCACGAAGAGCCTCAAGAAAGACTGAAAACTGGTGGGCAACAGTAGCTAATCAAATAGAAGTATGAGAATAATGGAGGACTTAATTTGTTTACGTGATGGATTCGTCGTGAGCTGAAAAGCCGGGAAGCACTAGGCAGCTGTTTCGATCTGGGAACAGTCAAAGACTGTTTCAACTGATGCGTAGCACTAGAGGTCGGCTATTGGTCGAACACTGCGACAGCAGGGGACAAGTTGTTCACAATAGGGAACAGTGGCTTCACCAGTGGGCGAAGTATTTTAATGAGCAGTTCAACCAGCCAGGCACTGACCATATTATATCGTCTGTTGTAGTTTAGGCTTCGTGGACAATCTCATTTGGACCTCCTACTGCAGCATAAATTCGATCGTGTATCCAAGCCCTGAAGGATGGAAAATCAACAGGACCTGACGGATTTCGTCCCACTCGTTTCAAGATAGGCGGCGATGGCCTCTTAGACTCCATTACTGATTTAGTGCTTAATATCTGGTAACAAGGGCGCATTCCGTTATTCTGGAGCAAATCGCTAATCTAATTTTCAAGAAGAGATCTCACAACGACTGCTCGAACCACCGTGGAATAGGTCTGATCCCAATCGTTATCAAAGTATTAGCCACCGTCGTACTTCAACGTCTGTCACCGTGTAGGCAAACAAATATTTACAAACAACAAGCAGGCTTTCGACCAGGTCGCAGTTGTATCGATCAACTCTTCACTGCGTCAAGTCCTCGACCTACGCCATACACACCATCGACCAACAGTAGTCGCGTTCCTTAACCTAAATGGATCCTTCGACTCAGTTGACCGCGGATCCCTTATATGTAAGAAGTATGTGCAGAAGTAATTATATATACTGAGTTCACTCTGCTCACATACTTCTGGTACCGTAAATTTCTACGACAGTCTTCGTAACTAACAGCAGTGTTCGCCAAGGGTGCCGTCTTTCGTCATTTCAGTTTAGTTTCGTCAGAGACGAAATATTGCAGCACACGCCAAGTGGCCTCCAAAATGTTGGTATTGCATGGATAGCTGGAGAAAAATTGTGATCTAGAGTACGCTAACAACCTCTTGTTTGAATGTATGGAGGATACACAATGCGCACCTGACAGACTAATAAATTTTCTTGCTCGGTTCGGCATGCGCTTGTCACCTTCAAAGTGCAATGTGACGCTGCAAGATTGGATATCACCAAGTTCCGTTCTGAAACTCGACAGTCAGGAATTAGCTGAGGTTGACTGCTTCCCATAAGGCAATAGCCACGTGCCCAACGACGGTAGCGCATCAATAGAGATAACCGCCCGCATTTCCAAGGCATCGTACGCAGGACCAAAACATCAGTGGCGACGATGTGACGTTTCACTGCTTTACGGTTGTGAGACCTTGGATTTGCGGGCAGAAAACATTTGTCGCCTAGTGGTTTTCGACAATCGATGCTTGCGTGGTCTGGCTGAGTTGGGATGGAGTGAGCGGGTTATCAACCTAGAAGTAAGTCGTCAGGTGTTTGGGAATCCATCGAAGATGAACTCTTTAGCGCATCAAATTCAGCTCAATAGACTCCGCTGGTTAGGACACGTTTTGCATATGTCTAACGGTCGCATACTGCACCGTTCCTTATTTGCAGTAACCGCTGCAAACTGGCATGGAGAAAGCGACAGAGCGATTAGGTAGGGGAGGGCGTCTCTGGTTTTCCGGGTTGGGGTCCAAAGGACTCCGCAACTGCATGATCGGAGACACTGAAGGTCACGACAGTAAACCGACAGCAGTGGCGATTTTACTGTCTTTTCTTATCAGACCAGAATGCTTGAAATAGTGTATATGCAAAGTTGCACTCTCTGTGTGTTGACCACTGAGGTTCTCTTTGGTTTCTCGTCCCCAAGAAACAGACCCAATCCGCACAATCCTAACACATTCTCACTTGCTTTGTACATATTATGACTTTGGCAGCGATCGGTGAAGTTCGCTTCACTGTATTACGCTATACAATGACGATGAGGATGCTTTTATTGCTGTTTTTACTGCGCAGCTATTTACCATAATATGTATAAACACTTGGAAAAATCTTTGGTGTGTTCCATGAAATTAAGGTTTCAGATATGTTTGAAAAGTGTGAATGGGTCATTGCCATACCGATTTGATCGCAGAATAAGCTCCACCGATAAGAAATACATTACCAGTTTTCAACAATTCGGTGAATGAAGTTTATGTCTCCCCAAATGGGTATTAAACAACACCCTACAACCCTATGACAAGTTTATGCAGACTGTTTTCCTTGTTTTATTCTCGTTAGCTCTTTCCAATTCCCTCAGCTGTCCTCCTTACCTTTATAAAGCGTTCTGTTTCAGATTCGCACACGTTTGTTTTCTTTTTTTTTCAGGTCCAGCGCCTTTGTTTGTGACACATGTGGTGCAATTCAAAATCTGCTTAAACCCTTAACTGATGCCTCACGTTCCATTAGTCAAGAAGCTACGGAAACCGCCTCGCAAATCGCGCTAACTGTAAGTCATTTTTCGACCTCTTAGTACATATATATGTATCTGTGTGCTTGTCATGCGTCAGGAATAGGTTTGAGCTTAAAATCAACTCCAATACAGATACCTTAGTTTGTGACGCAACCAAGTTCATCCAAAACTTTGGAACGCTTCAAAGTTGCGAAATTTGTAAAAGATTCAAAAGGATGGGCGATTTTGTGATAAATCACTTCTAATTTTCTTTATACGTGGGCATTGTCATGTGTTCCTCCCATAGAAGTAAAGTCTTGCATCAAACCCCAAAGGCCAAGAAAACCAGATGGATATAATGATTGTCCCCCCACTTCTTTCAGTTTTCTTTTGTGGAGGGGTGATAACGATGGATGACTTTCTGCGAAACATCTGGTCGTAGAATGTATATTTTCACACACGTTTGATTTACTCATGGGAGAATAATACCAGGTTATCCAGACCATAACATGTGGATTTTCTTGGAGAGTTCACAACCGGATCCTTTGACTAGCCAATGCTTGACCCGCAAGGCGGCGGAGTGGTGTTTGAAAAGCGCAGTTCATTCGGGGCTGGTGTCCAGTTCATCGGATCAGACGGGTCAAACGTCCAACGTACCCAATTCAGTCGGTGACTACTGTCAGCCAGAAAGATGTATACGCGTATCGTTCGTACATCTCTTCCTGGTTGATTTGGAATAGAGGATTTTTTGCCAACTCCCTTAGATGAACCGCTAGTGGTTCACCGACCCGGTTACAGAACCGAATGTGATAGGAGAAACCTCCGCCACAGAAAGCAGTTAGTAGAGCTTCCTCAGCAGAAGCTAGTTGAGACGCTTGGTCGTCTAGGAGTATTTCGCGAGGTGCAAGGGAAGCGTGACTAGCTACGTCCCAAGACGCCCACGCGCGACTATACCGAGGCTTTCCGAGGTCGCAGAAACCGATTCCATCATCTCGAGACGAATTATTGATCATCCAAATTTTCGAGATGGATTGCACGAGTGATCGCGCTTTAAGATTGGTCCCAATCATCACCACCCCGTTAGCTTCCGCCGTACATAGACGTCTACCACCGTCAAGAGAACGGTATCTGGATTCTCACCTTATCGCCTACCTTTTGGTCAAGTTTTTACGTCATACACCATCGGCCAACAATGGTATTCCTTGACCTAAGACGAACTTTTGATTCAGTCAAACGTGAGGCTCCCTTCGGTTCCGTTTTTGCAAACGATGCCCAAGAAGTATGTCGACTCACCAAGGTCTCTGTACCGACATACTTCTGATCTCGTAAGGGTATACGACGAACTAAGCCGATTCCCGCCAGCAACGGTGTTCCTCAGTGGTATCTTGTTTCGCCTTTGCTGTTGATTTGCCTTACAGACGAAGCATCAGAAAACGCCTAGACTGTCTCCAAAATTTTGGTATTGAATGAACAGTTGGAGAAAGACTGTGCAGTTTGGGTTTCGCCTACGACATCGTTTCTGTTTGAATGTATGAATGAGGCGCAGAGTACAATTGACAGGTTAACAGGTTGTTCTGCTCTTTTTGGTATGTTCCTGACTACTTCAATGTACGAAGCGGTCATTCGACTGGGTGTCAATTAATCCTGTTTTAAACTGAATGGACCGGAGTTGACTGCTTCCCTTATAATAATAATATATAAAATAGCAGAAAATACATTCGATATTGTAGGAAAGAAAAAATTATAATACGAGCCAAGCCATGTTTGGAATTACATTGTTTTTGTATGATAAAGTACGGGCAGGAGGCAATTGATGTTTGAAGCCAGTTCGAGGGTTTGGCAGAGCTTGCGCGATTTTGGAATACGGGCATTGCCTTTGTCCTGTCGGTAGACGTATCCACAAGTGTCGAAATACTTGGAACCAAACAACTTCATCTGATCTGATGTCCTACAAAACGCGTTACATAACGCAGCGAACGCTGGTATCGAGCTTCTTCCTGGGGCATCGCATGAATATCGACGAGGTCAGACGACAGGTTCTAGGATCGGATAGTCTTCCTTTGGGCAAAATAATTTCACAGCATCGTCTTAGGTGGCTACGGCACGTCCTACGAATGCCTGAGCACCGTCTGCCACACCGTGCACTACTAGCAGACATCGGTCTNTTCTCGGCTACCCGGCTGGGACCCCAAAGATTCAGATCGTCTTTGGCTGGAGACACTGCGGGATATGGCATCGAACCGAAGTCAGTGGCGCGAATGCATCACCTCTTGTCTACAATCCCAAAAATAATTAAAAATGAAGAAAAAACTCAAAAAATATTGTTACTCCTCGAAGTTGACTGTTTTATTTTCCCCGTTTTTGTACCTATATTTTTTCCTTCACCCAAGGTTATCTTTGGCGCCTTATCTGTAAAAGATTGGTGTAAATAATAATAATAATAAACAATTTCATCGATTGCATTGTTGCGGGAGAAAAATTTAAGAGATCCAATGAACAAGGATAAATCATTTTTCTTTTGAACCCGGGAGAACTATTGGGGAGCCAGTAACCAGTTTGGGAGGATTCAGGCAATCACGAACAGACCATGGCAGGTTACGAATGAGGGTGACACTGAAGTACCTGACAAAATCAGCTTTCGGGACACTTTCACCACTAACTATAAGATCAGGGAGATTATTTACCAATGCAAGATAACAATGGTTAGTTTTGAGACTAAAGGAAACATCAATGTACTTATTGATGTTTAGTACACGGGATTGGGGCACTGACCAACCGTGATGTTCATTGAGGCTATTCTGCATAGGGTGAAAACTGCCTGGACTCGAGGATAGGTAACCAATCATAATATCTTCGGCATACTAGCAAGCCCCATTGTGTTGTGAATGACAGTCCTTTGATTGGCCGCTTCTCTCCCTGAAATTTGTAAAGGAGGTAAAATAAAAAGAAAGAAAGCAATAGAGAGTTAGTGCGGAATGGGTAGAAAACCAAAGGCGTTGGCATAACCAAAAAAAGTTAACCAAGTGGTACCTGCATCTCTGTCTGAGACGAATGCAACAGAATGAACAAAATGGTGACAGCGTCAGATGTAGTCAGACGGGACTTGTAAGCAAACTGTAGAGGATCTGGGGAGTTTCATAAGAATATCATGCGTTGCAGCAAAACATTTTCAAAAACTTTCAGCAACAAATTAGCTGGTAATTGGACGGTACCTAAACGATCCTTCCCTGGGTAATGGTCTAATGCGGGCCGATCAACAATCGGGGACCGTTCCGGATGACAAACACGTGCGAAACAATTCAACAACTGGTTTCGTAAACTGATCGGCACATGCTTTTAACAAATAGTGTGCTAATAGCTCAGGATCACGAACTTTGTTAACCTTGAGTCCTCTCAAGACTTATTCGATTAAGCAGGATTAGAGGATCAGAGCTCGAGTGTGTTTCGATGTTGAGCACTATCATCGTTATGTTCCTCGTTGTGATTAGTATCTTCAGTCAATACTAAATCAATTCTATTTATTTCTCACAATCAGTCTGGCTTGTTTTTGCTATTCGTCAATGGCGAGTTTATTACTAACAATATTGTATACTATTCAAATAACAAACCATATAGTACTCTTGTACAAGTTTTATCGATGCTCTATACATTCACGCAATTTACGGTTGTGCTGTTAGTTCCAGACCTAATTCCGATAGCTGCTATCCATCATGGAAATCCTAAAGAGCGGGTTGATAAAGCTTAGAGTGTGATTTCGCTTTCATTATGAACTTGATTGTATTCGAAATGGCGTTTAGTTAACTGTAGATTCACTCGATCTGTTTTCTCATTGACAGGGTGAACGCGAGGTCAAAAACGACTCGCCTATTGAGTCCAATGTGAATGTGGTCTCCCCAGCAGCGGAGACTAGCCCTTCACCAAGCCAAACACCTGTTGCATCCACCTCCGCAAGACCACCGTCTGTCGAGGTGAACACTACTTCCGTCGGGTCACTTCCGTCAGCGACCCCGACAACGTCTGCTTGTGGTTGTAATCCCAATCAGATCCCTCCTGTCCCACCTGCTATGCCCAACTTTCAAAATACTCCCATGCCGCCTGCCCAAATCGCGTATTGGTTATGTTATCCTGTTTATTACCCATTCCCACCGCCCTCAGCTTGTGGACCTAGGCCCACATGTGCTGCAACGGGAACCGAAAATGATAATCATGTGACCATCCCTATATCATCAACCTCGTCCACACAATCTGCGACACGGTCCAGTGGTGATCGAGTCCCTTTGAGCTTCACAGATTGGTTGAAACAGGCGCGTGAAGTAAGTGGTTCATAAGCCAATTAAATTCTGTTGATACTCCGACAGTCGTTAAAACGAGAGCACATAGGGGGAGTACAGACGGACAATATATTACAATCTCTAATTGTTTTTCAAATGAACTGAGAAACCGTCAGTGAACGCAACGGTTAAATGCGATGCAATCAGTTTTTGCTCTTTCATCTTTGGCACAGTTTCAAGATATTTTAATGGTGACAGTAAATCCTCAATGCGATACGGTTGAGGTTGAATAGATGATATTAATGTGATATATAAGTTATTGTCGAGGTGAAATCTTTATCGTGTAAGAGTTGTGGAATTTTTCTAAAAGTTAATTAAGATTACCCATAGCGATACCGCTACCCGGACATTATCGGTATTAATTGCTAATCGCTCGCTCATTCCCTTTATTCATGGAACGTTTTTCTTTTTCATAAAGAATATTGTACCATGATTTGTTTAGCACACAGTCTATATTCAGAGGTGTGTGAAAGTGATAATACAATTGTCCTCTAGAAAGGTCAGCACATGAGTAATGCCACTTGATCAATCAAAAATTTCTATTTTTTTTCTTTGACGATCTGGTGATTTCTGACATACAGTGGCGATGCGGACGGGGGGATTGATAATTTTTTCCGGAATTATTTTCATCGAGAAAATAGGCAAACAATAAAAGATTTTATAATTTTCAAAAGGGATCAAACGCAAGTGTAAGTGTCCATTGAACCGAATGCGTCGCGGAAATCATATGCCAGTTTTTTCCAGCAGAATCTCTTGATAGTTTAAGGTGTATATCGCGAACGATTGTCCGTAACACATTTACTCATAAGCGATACCGACCAGGGCTGTTTCAATACGATTTCTTACTTCTATACACCACGCTGTGGAACTGCAACCGTATCAGCGTTTCGAACTCGTCCTTGTACCGTGACCGGGCATATCACGTGTCCGGCTTATCGATCGATTCGCGCGCGGTTCGAGCATTTTGAACTAGCCCAAGAGCTGTTCAGCGCGTTGAACCCGTTTCAGTTTACTTATTTTCCTGTGTGTTGTGGATATAAGATGCAGAAAACCGATCAGAGCGTCGAGTCTGGCATCATCAGTATGCAGTTTCGTGTGTTATTGCCAACCAGCATTTCTGCTTCGGTAAGAGTAATATGTTTTCCATATTTTCCCGGTGATTCTTTTTTGCCCATCAGTCTCACCAATTTGGTTCTGTCATCGCAATCATTGTCCCAATCATATCCCAACTATTCTGATTACGATATGGCTCAAGCGAACAAACTGGTTTTTCGTAACTTCATCTCCTGACTAATACAGTCACATAAATAGGTAATCGGCAGATCAACTTTGCGTAACGTTCAATATGTGAGGATTAGATTGATATACAAGTAGATCCGAAATTCTTGTACACCAAATAGTCAGATCCCCAAACGGCCCAAGGCGAATTCTCAGTTCCACTCCTGCAGACAATCATTAGGTCATTGGCGTAGATTTATGTGTAGCTTGAATCAAGCTCTGGTGTCAACCACGTTCACAGAGTTGTCCTCAGAACATCTGAGTTGCGATCACCGCGCACTGATCAAGAAGGGAGAACTATATGCGTTTGCGCTTGCGCGCCCGAGCTTGGTTTAAACGACGCTGAACTCTGCGCTGATGTGTATTTGTCTGCAGTCGTGCGACTTGGGTCGTTTGAAATTCAGACTATTTGGTGTACTTGAACTCCCGAGACACATGTTTTTGTATAGTTGTTCGTCAAAAACTGGAGGTTGTAACGCGTACCTCATTGGGGTTTTGCAGTATTTGGTAAAACAAAAAATCAAGTCTCCTCGGATTCTGTGATACTGAATGCAGTATAACACCACTGACCGATCTTTCCACATAGATGCTGGAGTTTTATATCATGGTCTTTCTTTATGGATCTTCCAAAATCATTCGCCTTGTAGGTTTCAATGGTGTACGAAATATGGTCGAATACGTGCTGATAATACAAACGAGATCAAGGTTGACTCAAATATGCCAACGGTACTTATATGTAGACCTACAAGCCTTAGAGTACTAGGCTCCAAAAGCAGTTAATTGAACAGATTGAGTCGTCTCAAACGAACATCTCTCCCTCACTCGACATGGCAGTTTCTGATGTCTGAGGAACAATGGAGACCATTTTTGTGGAGTATTGGTATGGCTACACATTTAGATATCTTAATTTTTTTTCTTAATCGACTTCTATTGAACTGTGCTGAGTGTTTTTTGTGTGTAGTGCTTGCAGGTGTTGCCACTGTGTTACAGACCTTGGCATCATGTGCAAACAGTTTGTTTGTGGTCCCAGAACATCCGATGGATCGTTTATAAAAGCGAGGACCGAACAAAAGCCTATGTGGAATCCTGCAGACTGCGTTGACAGAATCGAATAGGGACCCGATCGCGTGCTTTCTGGGAGTTTTTCGAGTCATTCGTATGCTACTTATTGTAAAATATTCTATAAAATTACTCAATTCACATATGGTGCGGTTGATAGCATCTAATCCACCCACAAAACATCGAATATTAGTGTTAATTCGTAAATGGAATGGTTTCGAAAGAGCTACCCAGACAAATTTGCCCGGTGTTGCAAATGAGGTTTTTCTGGCGAATTTATACGTAAATGTATGTATTTCAATAAGTAGTATATGAATGACTCCAAAATTTCCCTGGAATTACATAACCGGAGATTGTAAAGGCTGGGGATTCGACCCAACCTGAGGTTTGCGGATTCAAATTCAGTTGTTTAACACTCCTGTGGCGGTCTTGATTGCTGTCTCATTACTACCCATTGGAGGAGATTATAACTGGCATCAGATTGAAAGTAAAGAATTCACGAAGGCTAAGGTCGTGAAGAAATTGAGATTCTTTTTCGGTATTCTATTTCCATACAAACAGT